TCATCTCAGGAAAGCACTATACGGTCTAAAGCAAGCACCAAGACAGTGGTTTAAAATGTTCTCAGCACATATCAAGAAGATCGGGTTTGAAAATGGCAAAGCTGACTCATCTCTGTTTATTCTAAGGAGGGATAATATAGAACTATACATGGTAATATATGTAGATGACATACTACTTACAGGAAACAGCTCAAGTATGATAGCTCAGACAATCAGCCAAATGAATCAGAAATTCGAAATGAAGGATCTGGGAACTGTTAGCAACTTTCTTGGCATACAAATCACTCGGGTCAAAGGCACATATTTTCTATCCCAGTCATCATATGCAAAATCCATAATTCATTTGGCTGGATTATCCACATGTAAACCACTTGCTAATCCGACTGTAGTCAAACAAACTCAAAACCAAGAAGCAGACCCGATATTATCAGATCACTACACATATCGGAGAATAACTGGAGCTCTACAGTATCTAACAATTACAAGACCAGACATTTCGTATGCAGTTAACATTCTCTGTCAACACATGCATCAACCGGAAGCAGAACATACTCAATCTCTGAAGAAACTCCTCAGATACATTCAAGGGACATGCAACTATGGTATCCCGGTTACTCCAGGCTCACTAGATCTACATGCATACTCAGATGCAGACTGGGCAGGTGATAAAAAGACAAGAAAATCAACTACAGGATACTGCACATTCCTTGGAAATAATATATTATCATGGAGCGTAAAGAAACAAAACACGGTTTCTCGCTCATCAACGGAAGCCGAATACAGAGCACTGGCTGCAGCGACAGCGGAAGTCATCTGGATAAGAAAACTACTACAAGACTTTAATGTAAAGCTCAAAACTCCAACAGAACTAAGGTGTGATAATATGTCTGCTATTGCCCTCGCAAATAATCCAGTGTTTCATTCAAAAACGAAACACATAGACATAGATCAACACTTTATTCGTGATCATATACAGTGTGGAAACATCAAGGTAATTCCTGTAACTACACATGACCAACTAGCGGACATCTTCACAAAACCGCTAGCCACAGTAAGATTTCAAGACCTCAGAAACAAGCTCACCATCCAGCCGGACAGTAAGCTTGAGGGGGAATATCAGCAACAAGAAGAACAGAAGGAAAAATACAGAGAACAGAGATAAGACGAGAAGAGAAGAGTCGCGTGAGAAGCTATAAGCAGAACGAAGAGAACGATCTACCACGTCGACTCAGCAACAGCTCATGTACAGCTCACGAGCAGCTCGGCAAGTTCACCTCTTCGAACTTCAAGAAAAGACAGCTCATCAAGTTCTAGAAGTATCTGTACAAATGTATAAATACATAGACAAAGCATATGTAAGGAGAAGTAACAGAAATCAATTCTAATAAGACTTGACCACAATTTCTCCTCTATTTCGTTCCACTTCTTTACTAGGGTTCTAGCTCGAGAGCAACTGAATTGGGGCTTGATTTTGACTTGCTTAGAGGATTTGATGGTCCAACCAATCAAGCAAACTTTATTTGACAATAAGCCTAGATCCAAGTCCTCTTATCACATGCATCACTTTCTTTGGAATATGATTTGTATTTTTGTGAAGAGAATAGGAAATTGATAGGAAAAAAGCTTCACCCATTAGTCCAAACCATGCCAAATTTCCAACACAAAGTCATTAAAGAAAAAGTAGCATAGGCCTCTATCATCCCATCTTTTATATCAATTTATCCATAAATATGAGCCACCCACACATGATTGCTTGTTAGGCATAAATTTCATATCAGGAGTTTGCTGCAAAAATATATCAAGAATATAATATACATGTTCAAAATGGATTCATCAAAATTATAATAATTTTGCACCGGAAAATAATATTTAATATCCTTATTTATCACAGCCCAATATTGATCTATCTTAGATTTTGTTTGGGATGGCTTTCTTACTGCTTTGTAAAGCTATTTTTAGTATAAAAATATCTTTAAAAGGAGAAAAAATAGCGGTATAAGGCTATCCCAAATGAAGCCTTATAGTTTTGTTTATTTTTATCGTTTATTTTTTGCATCTTATTATGGTAGTAAAAGTTAGGGTTGCAAGCGAACCAAACGTTCGACGAGCTACTCGTTGTTCGGTTCAATTAAAGTTCGTTTGTGATCGTTTAATTAACTAAACAAACAAACTTGAACGATATTTTAAATATTTGATTCTTAAATAAACAAACTTGAACACTAATGTGTTCGGCTCATTTATGTTCGCGAACAACATCATTTGAAGTTCGTGAACAAGCTCGGCATTAAACTCGATAAGAAGCTCGATTCGTGTTCGATTTTAAACTCATGAATAAGCTCGATAAAAATAATTAATATTTTACTATATAATTAATAAATATAAATAATCATTGCCTTTGTTACATAGACAATTGATTTTATTATAAATGTGTTTGTTCATAGATATGTTCATGAACGTGTTTGTTTGATAGTTAAAAAAAAATTGTTAAATATGTTCGCGAACAAGCTCGATAATCACTAAACGAATGAACATGAACTGAACATGAACCGAATATGAACACTCATTAATTTAAATGAACCAAACATGAACACAAACAATAAAGCTCGAACAAACATGAACCAAACTTGAACAAGCTGATATTAAATGAAAACAAACATGAACACTCACATACTCGACTCGGCTCGGTTCGTTTGCAGCCCTAGTAAAAATACTTTGTTAATGCGTTTATGACCATTCATAATGAGAAGAAGATAAGTGGATAATATTGCACATCCAAATTCCTTAATACTTAGTCGTTAGAAGAGGTTGAAATGAGTGCTTGGTTTGCTTTGGACTAAGGAATTTGAAATAGGATTGAAGTTCCATCTTTGTAATAATCACTGTTAAAACACAGCTCACCTTGGCCTGTTGGTTGAGAGCTTATGCTTCAACTAAGAGGTCCTGGGTTCGAGCCTTTGTGTATGCGTGGTGTGTGTGAGTAGGGGTGTCAATATTTGACACGACACGAAAACCCGACTCGAACCCGACCCGAAAAATCCGGGTTGGACCCGACCCGAATGCAAAACGGGTCGGGTTCGGGTTGACCTGACGGGTTGCCGGGTCAACCCGTTTGACCCGAAACGTGCAGTCCGAGCCAGCCCGAGACCGAGCCAGCCCGCGCTCCGCCCGCGATGCGGCGATGCCGCGCTTCGCCTGCGCTGCCGCGCTCGCACG